AATTGGCGCCGAATTTCTCTTCTATCAACCTTTTATAAAATTGCCTCTATTGCCATTTCCCATAGAATTAAAAACGTTCTAGAACTGCTTATAAACGAAGATCAGAAAGGAGTTATGTCTGGCCGATACATCGGAGAAATAACTAGGCAGATATATGATATGATTCAACGCACGGAAGACTATCAAATCCCTGGCCTATAGCTCATGGTAGGCTTCGAAAAAGCATTCGATACAGTTGATTGGAATTATATGGAAAAAAACACTGTCCTTTTTCGGTTTCGGACTCAATAAAAAGATGGATAAATACTTTCTATAATGGAATAGAATCATGCATTCTAGTCAACGGTTTTGGATCAAAATTCTTTACCATATCCAGAGGATGTCGTCAGGGAGATCCATTATCTCCTTATATATTTCTTCTTTGTGTAGAAATCGTAGCAATACTTATTCGGAATAATAAATACATAAAAGGTATTCAAATTGGAAACATGGAATATCTTCTTTCTCAGTATGCAGATGACACAACTTGTACACTCGATGGGTCTGAAAGATGCCTCTATGCAGTACTTCAAACTTTAACTTTTTGTGCTCGCTTCTCTGGCTAAAAAGTAAACACTGATAAAACAAAACTTATATGGTTAGGTTCAAAGAAAAGATCAAAATTGAAACTATGTCAAGAATGGAACCTAGATGGGAAACAAGAACCTGTTAAATTGCTTGGCATTAAGTTTTCCTTGGATTTAAATGAAATAATCGACATGAATTATGAAAGCAAACTTAGACAATGTGAAACAATAATGGAAATATGGTCCGCGCGTAACTTAACTCCTATAGGTAAAAACACCATTCTTAAATCCCTTATACTCCCAAAACTTAATCACCTGTTTTCTTCACTTCCAAAACCACCTGACAGTGTTATTGACAAATTTCAAAGGAAATGTTTTAACTTCATTTGGAGTAATAAACCTGACAAGATAAAACGATCTCAAATCATTTGTGATAAAGCCGAAGGGGGAATAAAATGCCCTAAAATAAGAGACTATATACTCTCAGAAAATGGCTATGTTACGACGCGCCTTTACTACGAACGCTAAGTGGAAACACTTGTTCTTTTTAAATACCCCTTGTGTCAAAAAACATAGTGTGTATGAAATCATGAGTAAACAACAAAACGAACGTCTCCTTTCTAACATAAATAACCAGTTTTACAAAGATCTAATACAAGGATTGTGGTTGTTCATAGAGGGTTTGAACAAAACCACTTTAACTAATCCTGATATTATGTCTCAATCAGTTTGGTTTAACGATAACATACAACTGGGATACGAACAATTTTTATAGAAAAATTGTACAATAAAGGCGTAAGATACATAAACGACTTTATTGCTGAAAAGGGACAATTTTACACCTATAGAGACTTTTGCAAGCTAAACTTTATCGTCATAAACTACTTAGATTATTTGGTCATTATACAATCAATTAAACAATATTGTAGGAAACAAAACATAATAAAAATGAACAAAATTGCATATCCTCTACTACCGTTTCACATTGCTCATTTATTGAAAACTCAGAAAGGTTCACAATATTTTTACAAAACACTGATACAAAAGCATCAATGTAAAAACCAAAATTTCGCGAAATGGGAACATATATTATCCCATGATATTAATGACAGGGAATGCACAATCTATAATTTATTAGTATTTCAATGCACACATTCTACCAAGTTTCAATGGTTCCAAGATCAGATTTTGCACAATATCTTACCCACAAATTGTCGCCTTTATAAAATGGGGTACGTTGAAAGCGATTTATGAAGCTATTGTTCTATAGAAAAGGAATCTGTATTCCATTTGTTCTGGGGATGCCATTATATACGCTCCATTCGGAATGATTTGAAAAATTGGCTGCTATCAGAAGCTCAGATAAATATAAATATATCAAAAGAAATTGTTTTTCTTGGCTATACCGAAAGAAAAAATAACCCACTTAACATCATCACATTAATAAGAAAACATTATATATTCACCAGAAGATCACAAAAGAAAGTGCCAGAATTCAAAGAAATCCAAAGGGAGCTAATAATACATAATAAATAATAAAAGTGCATTTGTAATGCGCACAAGCGTCTGGATTACAGATTTGAATTTGATAGGAAGGTAAGCAGAAAAGTCAGATGCATTGAGAGAACAGGTGTGTTTTGAGTCTTGATTTGAACAGTTCGAACGTGGGACAAAGTTTGACGTCAGATGGAAGAGTATTCAACAGCACTGGGGAGATGTGAGAGAACGTTCTGTAGCCATAGGATTTTAGTCTGTAGGAAGGAACTGTGAAATGAGTTGCTGTCACTGGAGCGAAGTTGTCGAGCTGGTACATATGGAGTAAGTAGGTCACTAAGGTAGTCAGTGCTGGTGTTGTTGAGGCATCTGTATGTAATGCAGAGCACCTTGAACTGTATTCTGGCTCTGATGGGCAGCCAGTGAAGCTCTCTAAGGATGGGTGATATATGCGCTTACTTCCTGGTTTGGGTAGTGATCCTAGCCGCTGTGTTTTGGACCATTTGTAGTCGGGATAGATGTCTGTCGCTAATGCCCTGCAACAAACTGTTATAATAATCCAGTCTTGATATTATTAGACCATGGACCAGGGTCTTTGTTGCCTCAGTCGTTATAAGATGTCTTATGCTGTTGATCACTGGATTGTCTGGTCCAGACTCGATTATTTACAGACCGCCGCCATATAGCTGGAATATTGCTGAGTGCTGAGAGCTAACTGACTATTATAGACTGACTAAATATGCAGCCCCATAAATTCAAATATCGACACCTGTTATAAGTACTGGTCAAGTTGCCATTTACTTTTTCGTTTGTTATTATGAATTGTAATGAGTATGCGCTACTGTGAAAATGCAACAAAATAGAAAAAATTAAAACAAAATTAATAGCTGTCCTCTGTAACCCGTGAAGGTCCGACTTAGAACTGGTCTTCATCAAGCCGTGCTTGTCGTAAGAGACGACTAACGGGATCGGGTGGTCAGACTCACTGACTTGGTTGACACATGTCATCGTAACCCAATTGCGTAGATTGATGCTCATGCTGTTGATCACTGGATTGTCTGGTCCAGACTCGATTATTTACAGACCGCCGCCTTATAGCTGGGATATTGCTGAGTGCGGCGTTAAACAACAAACCAACCAATGTCCTCTGTAAGGCCTGTAAGCCGTAATGCGGGGATGTAAAGTAGCTGCCCTCCGTCTGCTTGTCCTTTTCTGCATCGGGGGCGGTGGGGTAGCCTAGTGGTTAAAGCGTTCGCTCGTCACGCCGAAGGCCCGGGTTCGATTCCCCACACGGGTACAACTTTTGAAGTGATATTGCTGGAATATTGCTAAAAACGGCGTAAAACCATACTCAGCCAGCCAGCCTTTTCTGCATCGCCCCGTCTGTAACGATGCACCAAGTTCCTTACAACAACGCGGGAACAATCTGTATCAAACCCAAGTCCCGCTCGCGTCCTTCAAGTGTCAGCCGTGGTATTTCAGTGGTGTTTTTGTATCAGCGTGAATGTCTCACATGCCGCCCATATCATCGACATAACCAGATGACATCCGTTATTCCCTTGCATATGAAGTTTCTGCTGTACAGAAACAGTTGTGGCAGTGGTGAGCGAGCTGTCTAAGGCGCCATGCTAGTGATCCAGCGAGCTTGAGGTATCGGGATCGAGCCCACCTGTGACCGATGAGTGAGTGAGTTTAGTTAAGTTTTACGCCGCACTCAGCAATATTCCAGCTATATGGCGGCGGTCTGTGAATAATCGAGTCTGGACCAGACAATCAAGTGATCAACAGCATGAGCATCGATCTACGCAACTGGACACCGATGACATGTGTCAACCAAGCCAGCGAGCCTGACCACCCGATCCTCTTAGTCGCCTCTTACGACAAGCATGGGTTACTGAAGGTTCATTCTAACCCGGGCCTTCACGGGTCTGTGACTGGTTGTAAAAACCTTGGAGTCAACTTTTGTGTGCAGACTCTTTCAGTTTGTTCACAACCCCTAGTGTACAGTACACAACCCCGTGCACTTAAAAGAACCCACGAATCCGTTGGTAAATGACCAGATGGTGGCCACATGAATACGTGCAAACACCTAGTTGCGGATACAGCAACGTGCAGTAAACTTAGACTGTGCTGTGACTATGTGTCCCAGTCCACCCAGCTGCGAATGGGTACCTTGTAAGGATGGAAAAGCCGCAATTACTCTAGTGACAGCAAGAGTTGCATGATCCCCAGGGAGTTGAGATTGATAATACGATGTGCCGTTGAGATTGACATCCAATGATCGAGGGAAAATGTGCGCTATATAAATATCCTAGTAGTAGTAGTAGTAGTAGTAGTAGTAGTAGTAGTAGTAGTAGTAGTAGTAGTAGTAGTAGTAGTAGTAGTAGCAGTAGAAGTAGCACAAGCGACTGACCCTTTTCACTCTATGCATGACGTATTGTATTTGGACGAGATACTTTGTATTGATTTAGTCTGAACTTGTGTTTTGTAGTTTTTGCTATTTCATTTTATAAGGGCGGAGGGGTAGCCTAGTGGTTAAAGCGTTTGCTCGTCACCCCGAAGACTCGGGTTCGATTCCCCACATGGGTACATTGTGTGAACCCTATTTCTGGTGTTCCCCGCCGTGATATTGCTGGAATATTGCTAAAAGCGGCGTAAAACCAAACTCACTCACTCATTTTATAATTGGTGAAGTTTAAATGATACGGCATGGTATGATGGTAGCTGATAAGCAAATTGTGAAGCCACCCCCTTTATTTTGACGTTATTACATATAGTCGTGGGATCACACAGACATCATAATTGCTTTCAATCAAATGAACATTTAGGAAAGCCAGCTTTTGCAATTACGGGCGTTCATCCCGACAATCACTGACTCAGTCTTCACGTATTTCGAATTTCCTGTTGTCATTATGTATTTTGCAAACTGGTGTCTTTCAGTTACGTGGACAGTCCACGCTGGAAATGTAAACACTGACCTCTCATTATCGTCATCATCATCAGCATCATCATCAGTAGGAGCAGCAGCACTCCGCCAGAGACATGACGCACTTCCGGATGGAACAATCATGTTCAGTCGTTACTGGCTTGGAGCTCGGCTTGATTCTCCACATCGCCCTTCCTCAGCGTCCGCATAAATAGCAGGGGAATGTACACAGTTTACTGCAAATGACGACTGTCTGAACGGTGCAACAAAGAACAGCTGTCCCGTATATATGTTAACAGTTAAATGGAACTGAACAACGGCGTGTGACGGAATACATACGTGAACAGTTATCCAACGGTACAAGGAACAACAGGATGAAGGGTAAGAATGTTTTCATCATTTTTAGTGGTCCTAATGGGTGTATTTAATGTTACATTGAGTACTACTAGGCTTTTACGGTCATCTTAATACCAGCCGTACTTTAACTCGTTGACACAATGAATGTCACTCCTTGATCTTGTTATGGAGCCGGGGTGGTGGGGTAGCCTAGTGGTTAAAGCGTTGGCTCGTCACGCCGAAGACCCGGGTTCGATTCCCCACATGGGCACAATGTGTTAAGCCCATTTCTGGTGTCCCCCGCCGTGATATTGCTGGAATATTGCTAAAAGCGGCGTAAAACTAAACTCAGTCAGTCAGTCAGTTGTTTTGGAGCCTCTTTTGACAATATACCGATTCGTACTTTCGATCCCAGCTGTGCCGGCAATATTATTGAGTGTGAGACCCGTGAAGATCCGGGTTAGAAATACCTTGTGGTTTCCTTTTCACTTCAAATCTGTACAGTTCAGACCCGTGAAGATCCGGGTTAGAATTGATCGTCAGTAACCCATGCTTGTCGTAAGAGGCGACTAACGGGATCGGGTGGTCAGGCTCGCTGACTTGGTTGACACATATCCCATATGTATCCCAATTGCATAGATCGCTGTTCATGCTGTTGATTAGGGGCGGTGGGGTAGCCTAGTGGTTAAAGCGTTTGCTCGTCACGCATAAGACCCGGGTTCGATTCCCTCCCCACATGGGTACAACGTGTGAAGCTCATTTCTGGTGTCCCCCGCCGTGATATTGCTGAATTTGCTAAAAGCGGCGTAAAACCATAGTCACTCACTCACTCACGCTGTTGATCACTGGATTATCTCATCGAGACACGATTATTTACAGACCGCCGCCGTATAAGTGGAATGTTGCTGAGTTCGTCGTAAAACTAAACTCACTCACTCACTACCAACAGTGAATTTTCAGCATTTGTTGTAAATAATGTAATCTTTTAACTACGTTCAAGTTTGCAAAATGCATTTGGGTATGAGTCAGTTGGGTTTTACGCCACCTTTAGCAATATTCCAGCAATATCACACCAGAAATTGGCTTCACACATTGTACATCTGTGGGCCCGTGAAGATCCGGGGTAGAATAGGTCTTCAGCAACCCATGCTTGCCGTACAAGGCGACTATGCTTGTCGTAAGAGGCGACTAACGGGATCGGGTGGTCAGGCTCGCTGACTTGGTTGACACATGTCATCGGTTCTCCATTGCGCAGATCGATGCTCATGCTGCTGATCACTGGATTGTCTGGTCCAGACTCGATTATTTACAGACCGCCGCCATATAGCTGGAATATTGCTGAGTGCGGCGTAAAACTACACTCACTCACTCAATTGTACATCTGTGAGGAAACAAACCATGACAAGCCTACGCTAACCAGTAGGCTATCCTACCGCTCCTATTTGACTCTGAACGTTCAATATATATCATGAATGAACGAAGACATTCTTTTGAAAATCGGGACCAGATCTTCTCTAGGACTGACTATGTTAAATGAGCAACATTGACATTAAAACCGCCTTTTCTGTATTGCAAAACAATCATATTTCGTAAACGTAACAGGGCCCTTATTCTGAAAACGTTCGTAACCCTAAGAATTCTTAACTTTGATCGTAGCTAATGTGTTAAGAATGGGCTTAAGAGGTTCGCAAGGCTACGAACGTTTCGAGCTTTGCTAACCGGATTCGTATAAGTGGCATAACTCTTTTGTCACAATTAAAAATATTTTTTTTTGCATTTGATTCGACAAATTCAATAAATGAAATCGTTTGACAGGATTTCGCATCCATCACTTGACTGGTTGTAATGCCACCGTTTGGCAGGAAGTACACATCATGTTCAGACAAATTTTGTGCTTATTGAACGCTATCGGTCGGCAGGACATAAACTCATCTCACTGATTGTCTTATTAAGTGTTTTATCATAATCGGAAATAAACATCTTGTATCATATGATTTCACTTGTTTTTCGGTTGGGCGATACTCGACGATTGGGCAAGCTGAGCGGAGGATTTTGTGGGAAGGGTCGGATGGGAGTGACATTTTAGTCACTGAATTCACGTATCACTTTACTGTGAGAGCTGGAATCGAAGAAAAAGTTATTTTGCGGACATCCAAAACAGTAAGCAAACAATATATCCATGTAATAAATGTTATGTTCGGGATTACACATTCGCAGTAAAGATACCTGTACTTTTGATGGGTTGAATCCTATCCGGGATTCGAACTCACATCCTCAGAGTCAGCGCTTCTAATCGCCAGCAGACAAAGTCAGCCGCCTAACCCACACAGCCACCGCGGCTTCTGGGGGACAGGATATAGATTCACAATGCTAAAACGCTAATTTAGTTTCCCTTTCGACAGTACGTCTAAACAAAAACAATTCATGTCCCACCATGTCCAGCAAACTATTTATATGGGGAACACCTCCCTTATTTCCAACTTGTGTCAGCTACTCTATACCGTGTTCTGTTCCATTCGTGTCGGTGCAGTGGGGTAGCCTAATAAAAGTGTTAAAGCACTCGCTCTGTAACATATGTATGTCTGGCCACAGAGGCTCACTAAACATAGCATCATTAATATTACTAGTTGTATGTTTGCAGTATATACTAAGGGGGGATCACTCTCATTTGACTTCATGTTCAAGGCCATGTCCTCACAGCACTAGCCACTGTTAGCATGACAGTTACTAATAAAGCTTTCTAACACGAAGCTCAACCTTGTAAATTCCTTACACGCTCGTCACGTCGAAGACGCGGGTTCGATTCCCCACATGAATAAAATGTGTGAAGTTCATTTCACGTGTCCCCGCTGCAATATTGCTGGAATATTGCTAAAGCGGTTAAAACTAAACTCACTCACTCCATTCGTGTCCGGGATGAGTGTGTGTGTGAGAGTTTAGTTTGACGCCGCTCTCAGCAATATTCCAGCTAATTAAATGGCGGCGGTCTGATAATATTCGAGTCTGGACCAGACAATCCAGTGATCAACACCATGAGCATCGATCTTGTCAACCAAGTCAGCGAGTCTGACCGTCCGATCCCGTTAGTCGCCTCTTACGACAAACATGGGTTGCTGAAGACCAATTCTAACTCGGATCTTCACGGGTTACAGAGGACAGCTATTAATAACACAACATCGTCGTCAACGATTGTGATGAGTCCGGATTGTGCGTCGTTGACAGCGACGTGACTGGCAGAGGGTTGTCTTCACTGATGAAAGCCGGTTCCATCGTTTGATAAACGCGTACAGTCGTACAGTCGAACGGGGAGAACGAACAATAGCATGACATTTTGTAATAATTAGGATTGTTTACAAAAGAATTCATCTTTAAATACATGTTTCTGGTGGCAGTAAGTTTATTACATTGAAATAGATAATGAAAATTCATCTCCGATTGGGGGAGGGACAAGATGGACAAAATCGTTTATTTGAGGGAATGTGTTCCCAGCGACATACGATCGTTCATCCGACTGTACTATCAAAGAACAAATGTTATTTAATGCGCAAATGAATTGCTATACGCCTCTGATGCACGCAGTCGTGTCAGTTGTTCATGATTCAGGATGTTGATTATCATTCTCGGCAATTTCGCCAATGGCATTCACACTCTGACATTTCACGAAGAAGAGTCACAGTGATATTTAAATGTATTCCACAAAAGATTAACCCTTGATATGTTCATGAATTGAATAAGCTTTTTGATTTAACAGTCCAGCAATAACAAAGGGTGTTTGTGCAACGAAGCTGATCTTCAGCCTTATAGTTATGATTTTGTAGCGCATTGTGAGTGAGTGAGTTTAGTTTTACGCCGCACTCAGCAATATTCCAGCTATATGGCGGCGGTCTGTAAATAATCGAGTCTGGACCAGACAATCCAGTGATCAACAGCATGAGCATTGATCTGCGCAATTGGGAACCGATGACATGTGTCAACCAAGTCAGCGAGCCTGACCACCCGATCCTCTTAGTCGCCTCTTATGACGTGCTTTGTGAGACTAATAAGACTGTTATTAGGGTCTAGTCTAGTAGGGTCTACTGTCATAGATTAGGAATATGCCAGTACTAAAGAAAAATCAGTCTCATCTTCCCCAGCTGCCATCCATCAACACAGCCATGATGTAAACATTTTCATGTAATTTTGATTAATTTGGTTGTGGAAGAATAAAATTTAATAATGAATTATTTGTTCATTATTTTCATTTGTTTATTTCAGCTTATTTTCTCCATTCTTTAATGGCTACATTCATATTATAATGTTTTCTAACACTCACGGTTCTTTTTCTTTTCAGTTAATTTTGCTGATATCCATTTAGTCCTCAGCGTGATCGGTGCATTATGGGTACTTGTCGGTGACATCAAGTGACATGTGTGCAAGGTACGACGTCAATGGCTGTAGCATTCCATTCAACCTTCCGTTCTTCTACAAGAGACGATTCACACCTGCCTGCAATCGACATGACATATGCTACCGATGTGTAAGTCAGCCTTTGGCAATTTCAAACGTCAAGAGAACGTACAATCTTATAAAGCTAACCCGTTCACTTGACCCTGGGTTGAAAAGGTCACAAACATCATTTTCGTCGGTAGGTGGATGAACCACAGGGGCTTGTAATGCACAAAAGATACTATTACTGACGGGATCTTAGCACTATAAAAAGGGCTTTTATACAATATTAAAATTTACTGTCACTGACTGGGTCGTAGCACTATATAAAATGTTTTTATAAAAATGTATATTATGAAACGTAGTTTATTTAAGTCACCAACACCTGGTCAGTGGCGCACAAACAGCACTTTAAGCGACATGAGGATATGGTTAATTTCTTTTATCAACTTCATATCTGTGTGGTTTTAACAGGACCATTCACCCTGAAGTAAGTGAGTGAGTATGTTTTTTTACGCCGCTTTTAGCAATATTCCAGCAATGTCACGGCAGGGGACACCAGAAATGGGCTTCACACATTGTACCCATATGGGGAATCGAACCCGGGTCTTCGGCGTGACGAGCGAACGCTTTAATCACTTGGCTACTCCAACGCCCTTACCCAGAAGAGAGTATGTAGAAGGCGTCATGGAAAATTAAAATTATAAAACTTTTTGGAATAGGCCTGTTTATTTCCTCAGTCGTATCCAAGTCAACAAACATGAACTTGTTTCTTTTAAAACAAATGTCATGTTTGCATGTTCTTGGTGCATCAGGTTTAGCACCTCCAAATGTGTTGCCGACATTAGTGAATGAGTTTAATTTTACGCCGCACTCAGCAAAATTCCTGCTATATGGCGGTCCGACATTAGGAAAGTAGCCGGGTTCTCTGCCAGGAACACGGCCCTTCTGACACCTAAGGTGATGTCAAAATCTTCACGAAATGTCCTCATATTTTCCGGAAAGTTCAGGTGGTTCATCCCCACCATTCCCTGGGATACGTCTACAGTAGGCAAGGACACTGAGCTGATGATGAGCCTAACCGGACTGACTATACTCGAACCCTCAACGCTCCATTCATCTTTTTTAATATGTAAGTATTAATAATAATTAATTAGTGTATTGTTATTCTGTTCCAGGGGTATTCATATGGAATAAGCAGAAACAGATGCGATGGAGTGTTTCTGGACCAGATGCGGAGAACTTGCAGTGGGATGAGTTGGGTCAGAAGGAACCTGTGCAGAGGTTTCGCTAAGGGATATTATAATGCTGTGAAAAGGTTTGGCTCAAGGCGTTATCGCGTGCCCTCCAAGTGGTATTGCCAACAAGCATGGGTTCCGAGTTGCCTTCCCTAGAACCAAACTTTCTTTTGATGTTATTTAGCCTGGAGCAAACGAGTGATTCATTGTTCATTGTTAATTTCTTACGAATAAACGTTTCTGTCAAATGATGACGTGTCATTTTTTCATTTAGCGTAGATGGATTGAATATAATAGTTGAACTGAAGTTCAAATTAGAAACTGTTGAAGCTTAGTATAAGATGACATCTCGAGTGACTATCTTAACAAGCAATTTAACATGCTGAAATCTTCAAAGTGTCTCTGTGACCTTGAAAATTATGTTAAGGTCACCAAAATCGACTGGGCCCTGCGCCTTCCCGAGATTAAGCTTAGGGTTGAATAGGAGGAAAATCCAGGAAACGGTTCTTGAGATAGCTTAACATGCAGGTTAACATGCTGAAATCTTCAAAGTTTCGCCATGACCTTGAAATTTATGTTAAGGTCACCAAAATCGACTGGGCCCTGCGCCTTCCCGAGATAAAGCTTGGTATTGAATATGAAGAAATCCAGGAAACGGTTCTTGAGATAGCTTAACATGCAGGTAAAACGTGAAAGTCCCCTTGTGACCTTGAAATGAAGGTCAAGGTCACCAAACCTGTCACCAAACCTAGGTAACAAATATGAAAAGAATCTAGTGAACGGTTCTTAAGATATTCCAATTCGTACGTACGTACGGACGTACGGACGGAGCCTAATACTATATGCCCCGCTTCGCACTAAACACGCGGCGGGGGATAACAAGCCATGACAAGGTAGAATATAACGTTTTAATGTATGTACATCCAATAATGATTATTTCCGATTATCGATCTGCAGTTTATTTGTAATCGACAATCGTTTTATTTTGACTTAGATCGAACGATTAACCAACCCTACGATTAATCGCTCCAGCACTACGAATTAGTCATTTGGAGGCTCCTAGGTATGGTGTACCTATGCGTCATAGAACCGCTATTCCCTATACTACTCAACAATATTCCAGCCATATGGCGGGGGCCTGTAGATAGTCGAGTCTGGACCAGACAATCCAGTGATCAACAGCTGGAGCATCGATCTGCGCAATTGGGATAAGATGACGTGTCAACCAAGTCAGCGAGCCTGACCACCCGATCCCGTTAGTCGCCTTTTGCGACAAAAATGGATTACTGAAGACCAATTCTAAAGATGATCATCATGGGTATCAGCTGATATGTGACTGTGGATGTACCTCTATGACAAAATTTAATCAATGTACAAACGATTTCAGTATTTCTCACTTCCTTTTACTCGAAACTATTCAATCATCCTATAGCTTGACGTTTATGAAAACATTATTGGTGCTAGCCTCAGACGTTACCTTCTTTGATGTAATCCGCGTGCCAGAAATCCACAGGATTGGAAACCAAGATCATACATGTTGGTACTTACTACTCCTTAGAGACGCGACCAAAAAGTACTCCTGCAGGGGCCGTAATGAACGTCATTGTCTCTAGGGTTGTAAATATTTAGGTGAAACAGTCTTCCTGCTTCATAAATCGATGTCACTGCTTACACTTTTAACTACATGTTAGTATTGATTAGACCCATGCTACTAGGCAGTCATGATAAACTAAACTACCGGGCAAAAAACGTTACCACTTTACATGTAATTGTATAGAAAAACAAAAACGCTGGTTTTGGTTTGAGCCCAAGCAGAAAACATTGGCAAAAACTCAACATGGTCCCGATAACAACGCAGCTGTCTGAAAACCTTGTACGGATCGCACATTTCAAAACGTGAAAAATGTATTTGTGGGAGATTGGTCCAAATGCAAATGCATGATCGTGGCATAAATACCGATATTGGACATAGCAAGCATGCAGTGACCAAATAAACCACCACGAACAATTATGAATACTGGCATGCCCGATCTCTACATAGGGAGGGGCGGTGGGGTAGCCTGTTAGTTAAATAATAGTAATAGTCCGCTTATATGGCGCTCATATCAAGGCACATTGCCTGCTCACGGCGCTATGTACATTACTATCCCCTGTCATAGGACACTATCGTACTTTCCGATACGTTTCAACTCCCTGGGGATCATACAGCCATGGTGCCTGTCATGGTAAGGCGCAATTAACTTAACACTCACATTGTCAGCACATCCTCATGGGTACCCATTTTATAGCTTGGTGAACTGAGACAATGTGGATCTAAGTATATTGTCCAAGGATATTTCGCAAATGTGCCCACCTCCGGACCCGAACCTTGGTGCCTCCACCGGGGATCGAAACCGGTCCTTCAGCGTGATAGGCAGGCGCCTTACCACTGCACTATTGCGCTCCACAAGCGTTCGATTCCCTATATGGGTACAATGTGTGAAGCCCATTTCTGGTGTCCCCCGCCGTCATATAGCTTGGATATAGCTAAAAGCGGCGTAAAACTACACTCACTCACTCATGCCTCTAGTCACTTTAAAAGCATCGGTGTGGACATTGATACATAGATCGACTTGTTTATCATACGATTATTGACAAACACATTTCTGCACGTGTCTTTGTCAACTTAATATGATTGATGCCCTTTCTTATTAAAATATCGACAATTATTTCTCGGGCTGGGAATAATGTCACGAATGGCGGACGCCAGTAGAACCACTGTTTAAACAGACAGACAGACAGACATTTTATTCCAGTACCAAAGCCGTTGGCCCAAAGTACAGTCATGTAGTAACTTTCACAATCTGCGCATAAATACACTGTAGAGTCCATGAATTATTCCCTGCAAAAGTTGTCATGCATATGGATTTACATATCACACACCCATTTCACATGTAAGGGCAATTCTAAGTTTATACACCTTAAGTAGGAACTGACCAATATCATAGATAACACTACATTTATCTGATGCCATAATATTTATTAAAGACTGCTGTGATACTGATGTTACATGTTTGCAAATGTATGTGCTTCTTATGGTTGCATATTGTTTACACACAAATAATACCTGGTATTCGTCTTCCACAAAAGATAATCCATCTTTAAGGCAAAAGGGCAGAGTCGCCTTAAATATTTTAGTACCATCATAACGGCCTGTTTCTACTGCTAGCCCAAAATTACAACATCTGAATCTTGCGGTGGCAGACCTAATACAAATAGGAAAATCTGATGATAAATACAATTCAACATTTAATAATGATTTAAACTGCTTATAGTATTGTGTCTTTGATAAAACACCCAATTCTGAGACCCACTTTTGATGGAGATTATCAAACAGCCTTTGCTTAAATGCTGAAATAAAGGTATCGAGGTGCCCTACATCTTGTGCAACCCAAGCAAATCCAAAGCCAAGTCTAAACAAAATGTTTTTTGATATGTGTAACTCCAATTTGTTCTTCCACCTTCATCCTGTAACAACATCATATTATAGCATTGCAAAGGTAATCTATTTTCGTTCATATTAATAAGTTTCGTCCAGTACTTAACCGCTCTAGTCATATAGATATACTGAAGTGGGACTCTTCCACATTTGTAGTATTTCTGCCAACTTTAAGAATCCATTTGCATAATTTAATCTGAACACTCTCAATTTTCTTACAATAATTTACACCCCATACTTCTGAACCAGAACACAATATTGGAACAACTGTAGCATCAAATATCTTAAACACGTCCTTACATGATAAACTGCCAAATTTCCTTGAATAGGTATAAATAGCGAATAATGCTTTATTTACCTGTGCTGCAAGAGAATTCTGTGCCTTACTCCAGCAAAGTTTGGGTGTAAAAACAAGACCAAGGTATTTGTATGGCGAAACAACATCTATTGGATCTCCCTTGAAAAACCATCTTTCATATTTCCTCAATGGACCACCATTACGGTTACTCAGATTAACTTTCATACCCGTACGGTCACAAAAATGCTCCAGAGCATAGATCTTTTTTTCAACTGCAGACATGAATCAGCCATAGATGACACATCATCAGCAAACATGAAAACAAACATATTATCAAAGGTGGGAGGTAAATAAACACGCCTACCACCACCAAGTCTATCAGCTTATTTATGAAAATGAAAAACATTTGTGGGCTTAAAATGCACCCTTGTCTTGTTCCAATATTACAACTAAAATAATTTGATAAACCGTAAGTAAGTCTTACACAAGCTGTTAAGTTGGAATACATTGATACTATGATCTTCATAGAGTTACCACCCACACCTACTGCCTGCAGCGTACTCAACAATACATCATGGTTAATTGAATCAAAAGCCTTTGAAAAATCAATAAATAGACAATGACTTTTTAAGTGCATACTTACGAACAATAGAATGCAAACAGAATATGCTATCAATAGTTGAACGATTCTCTCTGAAGCCGAGCTGTGCTTCGTCAATAACACCATGTTCAGTACACCAACTCTGAAGCCTAGAGTTAAGAATAGAACAAAACACCTTGCATACTGTATCGATTAAAAAAATCCTCGATAATTATCAGGAGAATGCCTATCCCATGACTTAAACAAGGGACATATAATACTCTGACCCCATTCTTTAGGAAAATTGCCACTTTCAAATATATTATTGAACAATAAAACTAATACAGATGAAATATAATTCTTAGTTTTCTTTAGAAACTCTGCAGCTAAACCATCAGGACCAGGTGATTTGTTTAATCCAATCTTATCTATATGATACGAAACTTTCCTGACGGTAATAGGAGCATTAGGACTGAATATATCTACATCTCCATAACTCTCCAAATTATCGTAACTGAAATCACTAGTAATAACATCTACACATAGGAGATTGCTAAAATGACGTGTCCAATCTTCACTACCAATTTTCTGCGAAATACCATCACACACATGACCTTGCTTTTACTTTCTCCAAAATAATTTAGCATTATTTCTACATTCAATTAAGTCTGTTTTCATTTTAAGCTGGAAAATA